GGAGAAGTGCTAGGACGTATCTCAATAAAAAATGGGTAAGCAAGCTATGACATTGACAACGTAAAGAATGTTACAGAATTCAGCAAAAAGGACCAATAAGGAAAGATAACTGAGTGGAAATGCGACAGCAACACACCTTGCAACAAGCACCAAATTACATGATAGGAACTCAGAAGTCATGAAGAAGCCCAGAACATCTGATAGTGCTCCAAAACCAAACGCAAATGTCAAGAGGACAGCAAATCAGTCAATAATATTACACAACGGATCCAAAGAGGACAGTCTGACAATGCTCTTGACTGTACAAGGATAGCAAACAGAAAGACAAATAGAAAGAAAAAATAATAATTAAATAATTTTACAAATGCTGGATTAAGTGCTGAAATTACTGAAGATTACACACAACTCCTTTTCTGAACTATAATCACCAAGCTGAAACCTTAGAAGCGATGTCATTATGGTGGAAATAATGTTATGCCAACTTTCATTTAGGTATGAACTTGCAACCATACATTCTACACACCAAATAATAAACAAATTTCGATATATTAAAATTCAGCATAACAAACACAACAGACCTCAGCACGAGGCTCTAGGGAATAAACCCCACAAACTCTGTAGTTATCCCTCAGGGTCTCGTACTGAGGTTTATTGTGTTAGGATGAATTTTAATATATCAAAATTGGTCTACTCTAAAATTAATTTTCGTCTCTAACATTAAAGACAATATGAAAAATTGCTATACTAGAGTAACTGTAAGTACGATCTATCTACAGCTGTTTACAAGGCATCTGACCTAGACAATAATTGGTACTGGACAAATTCTATTATGTTGATCCAGATAGTGTCTTACCTGTTGTATAAAGTGCAATTGTGCATCATTCGTTCTGTAGAAACCAAAAAACCCACTTAAAATGTTTTAAACAAAACAAAGTGTGTGTATTTTTGTCACACCCAGATTAACAAAGTTGATTAAGCTACACAATCTTTCATGGAAGTAAGGCTAAATTCAAAAACATTTAATTATGTTTGCTTCCCCCTTTGAGCCCTGAGAATTAGTTTTGAAACTAAGAGATGTCAAGCTCTTGAACACAAAGGCAAAAACACAAACAGCGACCATTCAAGTGAAAGTTGCTGTAACATTTTCTCAAACTATGTTATTTTGTAATCCTTTTGATCCAAAATTTCACCTCTTATTTTTTTTAGAATGTTTAATATCAGAGAATATTCTTTGTATGGGAATTTAGTTTCCCCCAATTATTCTCCAGTCATGTACTTTTTGTAATTTCT